TCCCCTTGGGACTAAGCTACTGAAGGGAAAAAAATTAAGAATAATAATGTGATTTTCTAGTATTACCTGAAGCTGATTTATTCCTGATATAAAACTAAACTTCACGGTGAGAGGTACCTTTCTCATGCATTATTCTAGATGGCGGTGTAAATCAACTGAGAGCACAGCCAGTAAAGTTGTTGTTGCCATCTCTAAAAATTCTACTCTATAGAAAAGATTCAAAGAATTATTAATATTTCCTATATCCATATGTGCTGTGTTTCTTTGAAGGCACACACACACAGGGGTTTTGAGAGTTGAAATAGAGCCATTACGTGGTTTAAAATAGTCTAAAACTCTGACAATGGAGATTAATCTCTGCTGCAATGATTTTCCCCCATGGTTTGTGCCATCTAAAAATGGTGGAGAGCATCACCTCCCCTAGCTGGGGACGAGGGCTGGGGTGCAGGACCATCCCACCGGGACACCCTGTCCCACTCCATGCTCTGCAGCCCCACAGACAACGTCACGCAGAAGAAAACAGGGCTTTCTTTAAGAAATCCAAGAAATCGTTTGATTCAGGCAAATTACATTTGCATTCCACCCAGGAATATTTCAATATTCGGTACTCGCGAGGAGCTGCTGCTGCTCCGTGCTCCGTTTCTCCCAGCAGCAGCTGAATCAGTTCCTGCCAGGGAAGCGCTCTGTGCCCATATCCGCGCTGCCAGGTACGGCTGTTGCCATCACGGTACCGGCACGGTAGTGACACGGTACCGGCACGGTAGTGACACGGTGCCGCCACGCTGGTGTCACGGAGCCGCCAGCGCCGCGCACGCCGCCCACACGCAGCTGGCGCTCGTGGCGCTGAGTCCCGGGGAGCGCAGCCCCGATCCGGCCGCGGCGCAGCCATCGCCTCCTCCCCGCGCGGGCTCTAATCCCCGCAGACCGCGGGAGCCGGGCGGCAGCCAACAGGAGTTGCTTTGTCTGTGACTTGGGTAAGGAAATATCCTCTCTTAATGGCCATTTGCTTTCCTGTGCAGCGAAGCAGGTGGGATTCTGGATAACCTGTTAGGTTTTTTAAAATATTAATTCTCTTTGTTATCGGGAAAATACTGGAGGATGTCTCTGTGCAGGCTGTTAGTCCGGCATCCTACAGCACTCGTGTTATGTTTAGCAGTTTCATAGAAAGCTGCTTTCTGACATTTTACTTCAAAAGTATTTTAAGGAATCTGAAATATTTATCATGAAAAATGTGATTTTGCAAGTGTTCGGCAAGGACTGCTAAGTTAAGACACTGCTTTTGAATCGATGGAGGGGTGGGATGAATATGAGATGTTTAATGTGGATTTGTTTTTTAATGGCGAGGTTGTGTTTCCAATTTATTGTTCTTTTGTCCCTGAACACAGAGGCTGGCCTGGCAGTTCATTCATTCACATGCAGATTGCTTGGTTTGTGTATTATTTAAAGCAAAGCCCTTTGACTTTGCACTCTCCTTTTTTTTTCCTGTAAACTTCTTTCTAATTCTAAGGGCAAAATCACAAAAGCAGCATCCCCCCTGCACATGTAACTTTGTCACAAGACTATTAATCATGCCTTACGATAATTTTGCTAATGCAGTATATCCATTCGGAAGCAGTTTCTGTCTGCAGACGGATTTGTTACTGCAAGACATGAAAGCAGAGCAAATTTCTTCAGGAAATATTTAAGCAAGGTCATAATAACCCTCATTACATTCTAGGCAGCAACGTGCCATTTGCTGGATCAGGGTACAGCAGCAGTCACGTTTACTGACCCAGGCTGCAGAAGAGCCCAAAGGTTGGACACTAATATTGAACCTGCTCACTACTTTGTGCACACACTCGTCAGATTGAAGTCCTGCATGTTGCTTAATTTGCTGTGATGGGGGCAAGGGAGGCTAAACAAATTAAAGCAATGTTAAGTTCTTCATTTTCATCTCTGAAGGACTTTACCTACATTAATTAATGAGCATTGCCATTTCATTATGCAATTGTTCTTGCACTGTGAAAGGTAAAGCGGCACAGACAGACCCTTCTCTAGATCAGCTGTTTAAAATAATGCATTTTTCAGGTGCATATGGGTGCACTCCATCTCATTCCCTATCCATGCACCCCACTGCTGTGGCCCACCACACCAGGGGATGATGTGCACAGGAATGGGGCTTCGGGACGGGTCTGACAGACGCATCGCATGGCAGGACCAACTGCCAGCCCCTGCGCAAAGGCTGCTCACCCAACTTTGGTTACGGTGTTTTCTGCTCCTGTGGAAAGCAAAGCTGCTTCACCTGAGCGAGCAGAAACATTAAACCCTGTTTCCCCATACACTGTGTACTGGCACCAAGAAAGGTCAGGACAGTTTTGGACCAGAGCATGACTAAATAGCAAAAACTAGACAAAAAAATACATCAGACATTGTGTTCTTGCAAACCCCTGCGAAGTGCAACAAGTGCCTTAACCAGATGGAGAGATAAAGCAAAGATGAGGAAAGTCATAGGTTCCATAGCCCCGTAACCACGGCTGGAGCGAGAGGCCCCTGCGTCCTGCACCAAGCCCCTCTGCAAATACTCTCCCATGTGTCAAAAGAGGAAAAGGTACTGAGAACAGCATGATCCAACGGGAGGAAGGAGGACGGTGGGCAGGTATTCATCACCTGAGCACTTGTGCTGCTTTGTATTTCAGACAATTCAAACATTTCATTATTTTCCTCTCAAAACAGCAGCACTTACTCCTCTTCCTCGCTGAAAGGCAATGGGAGGCAGGAGATGATTTGCTGGTGATGGCACAGAAAGCCTGTGAAAGGGGGAAACCCAGCACAGGGGTAGGGTGGCAGAGCAGCCCCCAGCACCAGCCAACACCAGCACCGAGAGGAGCAGGAGGAACCGCGAGAGGATGGGGGACACACAGGAGGCTACAGAAAACACGGCACTGCCCTCCTCTACAGCAAAATCCTTCTGAAAAACCTGTTGAGTTTGTAAGGACTCAAATATGAGGATACTAAGGGAACTGAGCTGAAATGAGCAAATGTTGGGCAAATCTGACACTTGTGCTCCAATGGGCCAAATTCACAGAAGTGAGCTGGGGCCACACTGACCTACTTTGGGTTTTTTTCCTGTATATTTTTTGTTTAACAGCAGGCTGGGAAAGAAACCCAAAGGTCATCTGAATTCTACCCGTCATTCAGCACCACATTGTGCGTTTGATATTTGATTAAAGGAGATAACACCTTCTGCCAGGTGCTGGGCATCTCTGCTGGGGATGCTCTTTTTGTGGCATTCCAGTTCTCCGGGGACTGGAGATGACTGTGAAGCAAAACTTCATTTTGGGGCTCAAAATATTGGCAGAAAGGTTTCTGGTAATTGATCAGTACTTTTGTGAAGAACTTTTGATCTTCACTGGCTCTAAACAGCAGGATAGGGCTGGTTTTCATAAGGAGTTGTATTTCTAGGAGTTACACGTGCTGCAGAATGCAGGATGTAAATAAAGGTCAGGTACACACTGGCCTTTGGTGATTTTATGGGGTGAAGCCTTCACCTGTTTACAGTTGAGTCAATTTTGTTTTCAATAATATTAAATTTTAAAAATTGTGTCAAGGAGGTCAAAACCCTGAAACCGTGCTAATTAAGGAGATAAACTAGGTTCAGGAGGAATTCAATATCTAAGCTGCCTGTCACGAAACAGATCTTTCCATTTCTCCTCTGCTTTAATACTTCTGCTGTTTTCCAAATGTTTATTGTTACACAAAAGATTGTGTTTTGTCTTTCTGTGGGGCTGGGCTGTGTCTCACAGGCTTTGGGGCAGCCGCTTTCGAGACACGCGATGCTCCCTGTGCCAAGGGGATGCTCCTGGTACCCAAGCCCCTGCTGCCTGGGGTTGAAAATATTTGGGTGCATTTCTTCTGTATCCTGGTAGTGTGGCCAAGCCACTTCAAAAATATTTTTTCAAGTCTCAGAGCTTCTTTTTCCTCTTTGAGTGTGCTCCCAGCTCTGTAATGTTAGACCTGATCTTATCAAGATATTTGTGTAACGTTTCACACCCCCAGCCCTTGAGCAGGCTCTAATTCTCCCCTGCTCAGGTGAGCTCCCCGGGGCTGACAGCAGCACTTTCTGCACTACAGCCCTGCCCAGCCACCGCTCTAAAGAGCTTAGCGATGGGGGGAGCTGGGGACCAGGACCTGGCCAAGGTCAAGGTGAAGCCACCCATGAGCAGCCGCACACGTTTCAGATGCACAGATCAGCCGGGAGTCCTGGGGATGCTTTTACTGACCAGATTTCTCGCAGTTGCATCCTCCGATGTCAATGCCACACAGAGCATTTTCTGGGAGCTGCTCTCACCACAGGCAGTGCAGGGCACCCCTTCGCCATCACAACCTCCAGCATCACCGCATCGAGCGCTGCGAGAGAGAGGCAAGGGAAGGTTATGACTCAGAGCAAAGGCAATCTGTCAATTAACAAAAATCAAAGATGACAGCAGGCAAACTGCACAAGACAGATCAACAAAATGTTTTCTATCAACTCCCCTCTCTGCAGTCATGAGCTCTTCAAACTATTCATTATTTGAGTGATAAAGCAGCTCAACTATAATCCATCTCCATCACTAGTTGTACCTAACTTTTAATCCATGAAGTCATGGATGCTTTAGTTAAAATTAGCAACCATTCAGCAGAGCTTTTTTAACCACTGAATATGAAGCACAATATAAACATTTGTAATTGCCAGCATGTACCAAATGAGTATCCTGTCAAGAGAGTGTTACCATATGGTCACCAGCTCCTACCCAGTCAATCCAGTATTGCACTGCGCTGACGGCAGGGACATGGTCAGCGCGAGCAGCTGTGAGCAGCAAAAGCAGCACAAAATCTAACGAGCTTGACAAGTCTGGCTCCTCTGACTGAGCAAACGCCATTCACAGCATCCCGAATCCCACTGGTCCTGGGTCCCATTCACATCAGTCACCTCTCTCCTCCTCCTCTTCCTCATAGCGCTCCCTGCTTCCACTCTGGAGGAGATGGGTCGCAAGGAAGAGGATGACGGCAGCGCCTGGAAGAAACAGACAAGCAACATCCGAAAAACATTCATCTTCATGGAGGCCCTGGGATCGTAAGTACCACCGCTCTGCCCAGATGGAGACATCAGCGCAGGGCAGCGGCTCCCTTCCTGCCATGGGCCAATGTCACAAGAAAACACCTCTCTGAGCAGGGGGGCAATGGTGAGGTGAGGGGTGGGCGCTCGTTACTGCTGCACGGCTGCTGCTGGTGATCCATCCACCCACCCACCCATCCATCCATCCATCTACCCATCCATCCATCCATCCATCCACCCACCCATCCATCCGTCCATCCATCCACCCATCCGTCCACCCATCTGTCCATCCATCCATCCCCAGTCTATGCTCAACACTTGCCATGTGGCACCGGAGCAGCCTCCACAGCGCGGCCCCATCAGCTCTGCCCTTTCCTTCTCACCCTCCTCACCTCCATGGAGGAGATTTTTGCCCTTTTCCTGCCAAGCACACTGGGCTGTGGCTGCTGGAAGGTGAAGCAAGGTCAAGGGATGGCTCTGGTGTTATAATAATAAGTCGTATATTTAGCTCATAAACCCTGACTCAGTTGAGGGATGAAACCAGAACGAGGATGTTCAAGTTGTACAATACTTCTGTGTGAGTTAGCAGCTTAATTTGCCTATTCATGCGAATGAGACAAGAAAACATTTCCGAGGTGGTGGAGGAGGAATTGAATTACCTCCACCAGCGAGTTCTGTCACGGCCAGATTTTCAGTGACTTCAGAATCCACAACAAAGCTCCTAAAAAACAGCAACTCCCGAGCTGGGTGACATTTTAAATTACTGTGTTCCTGGTCAGCCTCAGAAATCAGTTAAATTATCCAGCAGCTTTCTCTGAAGGAATGAAGTTAGAAAAAGCTTTGTTCTTTCCTAGACAACTTGTTGATTCATCATTTTTTAATAAGGAGCATAATTATTATAAACTGTTTGGGACAGATATATAGAACAGATGCCCCAACATCTGATTTGTAGGTTGTTCATTTCCTACTATTTAATTAATAGGAAAATTTAGCATTAGCAATTGGGATGTTTTCCACATGCAACGCTTCAGCTAGCTGGAGAATATAAATGAAGATCTGTGACCTAAAACTACCTGAAACGTACTGTCACCATCCCCAGCGCCCACAGCTGCTGGGTTAGGGACGTCCCTGCCCATTTCTACAAAACAGCCCACAGAGTTCATACAGATAACAGGAGAAAATGTGGAAAAGATGGAAAAGGTCCCAACACCAACTGCTTTTTGGGCTAGAAGAGAGACCATTGCATGTAATTTACTGTGTGAAACAGAGATTCAAAGATTTGAATTTCTTCTTCCTTGATTTTGAATTGCCTTCCCAAAATTCTATGGGGTTTTTCTTTGGGTTTGTTGAATTTTTTGGGGGGATGTTGGTTTTCTCCTCCGCGCTCCCCTTCCCCGCTCTGCCCTCCAACTCCTCGCAGGGCTCTGTGGACGCAGTGCAAGTCCCATTTCACTGCCATCAGTTAATCTGTTGCTCATTTGATGAGGATTATCGAGGACTGACCTGGCAAAGTGTGCACTGTCACTGTCCCAAGCCACGTGTTCAGCTGCCCAAGACAACCCTTTAACAGGATTGGGAGCTTTGGGCATGTTATAAATACCCACTCATGGCTGCACTGGCTGAGCCCGGATCAGGATGCACAAGACACTCAGTGCCCCTTTGGTACCAAGGGTACGTGGGTATTGGCAGTCTCTGCTGGAGGAAAACACATCAGACACGGAATTAAAATATTAAGGGAGGTTATCCAGTTATTTTGCACTTTAGATATACACAGTGTTGGTTGATACACCCAAACTGCACCATAACTGGGCTCTCCTCGCTGCAATTCGGTTTTCTTGATCCTCAGGGCAATGCTGACCAGGGAAAGGGAAGGGCTGCTTTGGGACGAGGGGGATTTGGGGAAACACAATCTATTGAGTAGGACCTTGCCCCAACTTGGAGGCTGATGAGATCTTTCCATGGGGTTGCTAACCCCAGCAAGCACCCGCGCTGCCCTGTTAGCGGTGTTTGTTGGCACATCTTTACAGGCAGTCCTGAGAAATGGGATTTAATTTCATTGCAGGGACCTTTTCTGGCCACTACCTCAACACAGCTTCATAATGAACTATGCAGAAATAACCTGTCCTCTACAAACAGAGAAAATTGTGAGGGGTTTTTTTTTACATACTGCATAATCTTGCATTGAAAATCCTAAGTTTGGGTCTGCTGGAGATGTAGTTCTAGCTTTACAATCAGCATCCCCTTAGACTTAAATTACCACCATATTGCTTTTTCCTCTCTTTTTCTGTAAACATCAGTTCACAGCAGCAGCATCTCCTAAAAGCCTTCTCCTCTCTGCAGAGGTGCCTTTTCAGAAGTTTTCCTGGTGAAGCAAAGGAGCACGGGCAAGCTCTTTGCTCTGAAATGCATCAAGAAGTCTCCTCTCACAAGGGACAGCAGCTTGGAGAACGAAATAGCAGTGCTGAAGAAGTGAGTGTGTACCTGCACTGTCACGTAAAGTAGAACAAACGCCCTTTCTTTCCCAAGACATGACACTGCAGTAATAATATAAAGGAGTACTTTTTTAAAGAATATATAAATATTACTGCAAATTAGTAAAGTTTCTTCTCTCCCACTTGAGAAGCTGCTTCGTCCTTGCCAGCTTTGTTTCTGACCCACATTTATCTCTGCAGAATAAAGCATGAAAACATCGTGACTTTAGAAGATATTTATGAGAGCACAACCCACTTCTACCTGGTGATGCAGCTGTAAGTATCAGCAGAGCCACTTCTGTGTGGGCCACAGAGGACCAGGGGGATGCTCCGTAACTCAGCACGTACAGCCCGGAGTCAACGGCACACGTGAAACTTACACACGGCAGCTGCCTGGTTTGAGCCAACCTGGACACTTCTCACGCTGTCTTGGCGCATACTGGTGTTAGCAGCAAGTTTCTAAACCGAGATTAGGATCTCTTAATGCAAATTAATTCATGGCAGTTTAGCAGGGCAGAGCCAGAAATATTTCTAATTAAAGCTGTGCCATGCGGGGTTTCTAGAAATGAAAACGGGCAACGTGTCAGCTGCAGGGGAAGCAGCTCGCTGTGGGCATCGGCTGCTGCTAACTTCAGATTTAGCTGAAGAAGGCAATCACACAAAACCATATCTCTGCTTTTATAGCAGAGCCTGGAGACGGTTCTGCTCGCTGCGCTGGACGCCTGCGGCTCAGACCAGGCCGCAGCTGCCTCATAACCTTCCCAAATTGCCTAGGTTTACCAGTAATGCTTGCTGGTGCCCTGAAATCACACTCAGGGTCATCCATCAGCCTCTCAGCCTCACAAAAACTGCCCAGCAAATGGCCCTGCTGGAGGTGGAGGTGTAAAAGGGCCGAAAAGTTCACTTCCCTAACAGGAAAGCGTGATTAACTTCGTTTACCTTTCCTTTCAGTCTTTCTTCTTTCTGAACTACCATTTCCACAGGGTCTCTGGGGGAGAGCTGTTTGACCGAATTTTGGAACGAGGGGTTTACACCGAGAAAGATGCGAGTGGGGTGATCCACCAGGTCCTGACGGCGGTGAAGTACCTCCATGAGAACGGGATCGTGCACCGGGACCTGAAGGTGAGACCCGTCCCCAGTGTGACTGCAGGCTTTACCTGCTCTGCCCCACCATTTCCTACTGTTCCTTCCCAATTTTCTGTCACAAATTTCAACCTCTGAGCGCTCTATGTTCACAGCCTGAAAACCTCCTTTACCTTACTCCCGAAGAGAACTCCAAAATCATGATCACGGACTTCGGCTTGTCTAAAATGGAGCAGAACGGCATCATGTCCACCGCCTGCGGGACGCCGGGCTACGTCGGTGAGCCACGGAGCAGGAGCGGGCTTGTGCGGAAAGGGTTGTGCTTGTGCATTGCCTAGCAGAAAGGGAAAAAATACGTACTTATGTTAACAGCAAGGTGCTACTCACAGATGCACTGCATAGATGACATAAAGACTGGCTTACAAAAGCACAGAGAATGCAAAATCTCAGACTGTTTAAAAGTGCAGGGAGAAGGATAATTTCAGCGTTAGTCATGTATTTATTGGAAAATTACAGAAATCACGTTAACGCAATGAGATTTTGTTTGATGTCCACCAGCCTGCATTGCCTCGATGCACAGTTGACCTCGGGACGCAGAGCAGAAGTTGTCAGGGATTCTCTCAATTCAGTGGCATAAAACAGACACAAAAGGCACAGACGGATGCAGCTGGTAAACGGGGCTGCTACTGGCTGATTCTCTGCACTGGCACCTCAGAGTATCAAGTGTACAAAGAACTACTGCTTTTCCCAGTGTGGGATAATTTATTATTGTTTATCATTTCCATTGGTTTTGCTGTTCTGCAGCCCCCGAAGTCCTGGCCCAGAAGCCATACAGCAAAGCCGTAGACTGCTGGTCCATTGGAGTCATCACCTACATCCTGTGAGTGCAGCACACAGCATCCCACTTGTTTTTCCCTAATTTCCCAGCTCCTCCATCTCCTCGTGCACCTCTCGGAGCAGCAGCGTGAGCGGGGGCGATGCCAGACCTTCCATTTTGCCATGGGAGTGCAGCAGTGCTGTGTTCTTTGCAGGGATTCACTAGACCATAGAAATGAAAGGGATGTGGGGAATCAGGGCTGGAGCGGAGATGAAAGGATTCGCATTTTCTCTATTATGTGCCTCATCCTATGCTTTGTTTTTCCCCCTTGCCTACAAATACCACTCAGTCTTCCCCGGTACTTTTTGTTTCATTTCCTCCCACACCACATAGCTATGTACCAGCTGTGGCTGTGTCCTTTCGCTGCTGCAGTCGAGTTTTTAACTCTTTTCTGCAGCTTTACCGATACACGTAGATGTGAGGGACAGACGGACGCAGCATCCCCGGGTACTCCCTGGCGCTGGCCGGAGTGGCGGTGCTCGTGCAGCCGTGAATAGTGGCACTGAAGGAGCTCTCTGCTCTGTTGTAGGCTCTGCGGGTATCCTCCTTTCTACGAAGAGACTGAATCCAAACTGTTTGAAAAGATTAAGGAAGGCTACTTTGAGTTTGAGTCTCCATTTTGGGATGATATCTCCGAGTCAGGTAAAGCTCCGGCGCTGTTTATTCACCAGCGTTTGGCATGTCCTCTTAGGATATCTCAGAACAAGAAGAAAAAATAACCTTTTCTCTCTGCTTCTCCTCCCCTCCCAATCAGCCAAGGATTTCATCAAACATTTACTGGAGAAGAACCCAAGCACGAGGTTTACCTGTGAAGAAGCCCTGCGGCACCCATGGTGAGAGGGCCAGGGCCTGGCTGGTGGCCATGGGGATTTACCAGTCCCACACATGGCCCTGGGTGTTTCTTTTTTGTGTGCATAGAAAATAAAGCTTAAAAAAAGATGAATAATTAAAGATGCAATTTGTGCGTATTTGCCTCCATAAACAGAGGCAAAGCAGAAATCCCATCCCAAGCTTTCCCAGGCTTTGAAATGTGTGTTTGTGTTACGTTTTGTTGCTGTTTTTCCTTTGGGTTTAATTATTGCTGATTGAACGTACAAAGCAGTTCACTGCCTCCAGAATGCGGAATGCCTTACAAATGCCATCTGCCTACGAGCCCATTTTCTTCTCTCCCCATCTACAGGATTAATGGAAATACAGCCCTTCACCGTGACATATACCCATCTGTCAGCGCTCAGATTCAGAAAAACTTTGCAAAGAGCAAATGGAGGGTAAGTGGTGGGAGCCCGGAGCCGTTTCACTGACAAATCCCATCCAGCAATGAGCAAGGGCGTGTGGGGAAGCACCCAAAGCCGAGATCCCCCAAAGGCTGCCTGGAAATCGCACACAGATGCCGTTTATAGTGTTCGGACTGATATTCCCTGCTGCAATGTGCATTGGATTTGCCACTAACAGTGCGCTGTAGTAAAGAAGTAAAGCAGGGGGGAAAGGATTAGTGCCTTCGGTGAAATTGGTGCTCCATCAGCAGATCCTTTTGGAAGCTTAGTCCAGGTTTTCCTCCTTTAAGATAAATTGGTACTTCCTTGGTAGCAAGAGTTTTTGTTAAGAGTTTAGGTGGAGAGAGGAAAGCCATAGGAACCACATGCACGATAGCATTTTAAATCCTTACATTCAAAATTCAGCTCTAGTCTCTGTTTTGCACCACAGGTACTTTACAGCTGTTTCCCCCGATTTCCTCATGTAGCAGTGACTGCCGTCTTCAAAAGCAGCCGCGGTTTGCACTCGATGGAAACCACGGTGCTTGCGGCAGGAGCAGCTCCCACGCTCCATCCCATGCAAACCAGCACAGCGCTCCCCCCCAAACGTGCGCAGTCACTGGGGAAGCAGATCCGTCCATCCGTCTGTCCGTCCCACAGCACCCACCCAGCCCGTGCTCACCGCGGGGTTTTTGTCTCCTTCCCAGCAAGCCTTCAACGCCGCAGCCGTGGTGCACCACATGAAGAAGCTGCACATGAACGGCCACGCAGCAGCTGAGAGCCCCCTCCCCACCATACAAGTCTCGGAGGCGTCCAGACCCAGCATGCCCATGGTGGCCACCCAGCCAGCGACACCGACCGACGACAAGGACACGCCACCCCCCCCGGTCCCCGTGCAGGGCTGCCCAAACCCCCCCGCTCAGCCGGAGCAGGACACGGCCATGAGGAAGATGCAGAGCCCTGCGGAGAGCGGCCTGGGGGTGCCCAACAACCACAGCCCCCCACCCAAAACGTCCTGCGGCTGCAGCCCAGCCTGCGTGGGCCATGAGAAAACCAAGGCGTCCTTCTGCTCCGAGACTGTGCTGCTCAAAAAGTCTGCAAAATCCCAGTAGGTATCCAGTCGTTAGCCATAATTTCCAATAAAATATATGGGAATAGCCACCTCGGGAAGGAGGTGCCTGGCATATAAATGGCCAGTTTTTATAATCTGCCAACACCAATCACTGGGCTGTGCCGAGTGACTGGACTCTGTCTCTGCTGCAGTGCCGACTTACACCCAGCTCTGCTTTGCTTTCAGCAGCTGATATTCTTTATACTAAAAACACATCAGTGCACCCACAGAATGATTGTAAATATTGCTGTTTCTCTCTTTTCCTTCTTTCTCCTCCAATTCTTCCATTTCGAAGCAATCATTTCAAATCGGAAGTGCTTGTCCCAATGAAAACCAGTAAACACTCTTCCCACTGTGGCACTGGGCAAACTGGAGTCTGTTTGATCATGTGATGAGGAGGCAGCCACCGGGCTCCCCACATCGCCAGCGGTAAGTGCTCTGCAATCCAATCACCAGCTCCTTTTAATTAATCCCATTATGGCATGAAAAAGGGAAAGGCACAAATAGCAAAGTGATTGCACATGAAATGAATTGACTCACAGGTTTTTTGCAACACAAAAAGCCTGTGCTAAACCCACCTTTCAAGGAAGAAATAATCTTTTAGCTTCCATTAATGCCAGTCCAGTGACTTTGAATCCAACTTTTACAATTACAACAGGGTTGCCCAAGGGCTGTGTGAAAGGCAGCCAAGCACTGTTATCATTTGCACCACATTATACACGAGCAGTCGGAAGTATTGCTGTTAAATCCAGCAATAAAGGATGTTCCTCTGAGGTGAGCGTACGCTAGCATAGCTCTCCACAAAAGCTGCACAAAGCAAGCTACCTCCTACCACTGTCTGTCACTCTCTCCTGACGAGATTATATGAACAGAACTGTAATATTCAAAGGATTAACAGAAGAGACAAACGCATGTAAGATCAACTATAGGCTCCTAAAGGTCCATTCCAGCGATCAGTCATGCAATAACCCCGGATAACCGAGGCACACAAAGGGATCTGAGCTGTTCCTACCCCCTACGCTACTGCTCATTACCAGAGCGCGTTTTGAAGGCAGCAGTTGAGGGGAACAAAGTTCAGCCGTCGACTGAAACCCTCTCTCTTGCAGAACCAGAAGGGCTGTTTTACTCTTTTCTGCACTTCAAAGCCAGCCGTGGGCAGTGTGCGCGAGAAAGGAGGCTGCGTCCCACCGGGAGCAGAGAGCAGCGACCGACGGGCGGCACCTTAGACCCTGGAACCCATCAGTGCAGTGACCTCGGGGTGCGCGGGATGGTTAGATCGGGAGAAGGCAGGGAAAGGCTGAGGCTACTGCTAGAGTATTCAGTGTATATTACCCATACAACATCGCTCAATGCTGTAAGCTTTTGTTTTCTGTATACTGTTTAGTTGTCTGATGCAGAATAAGTGCACTGCACAACGTAAATCCTATAAACCAAAGCCATGCAGAGTTTTACTCAGTGGCAGCTCAGTTATTTTTACAGTCTGCACCCTACCCACTCCTTGGGTTTTGGTTAGTCCCAGGCTTCAGCACCGAGCATCCTCCAGCTGCGCAGCTCTCCCTTCAGTGACCAAAGCAGAGACAACCTGCTGCAACCTCTCTATGGCTGATAACAACCACAGCAAGGTCTAAAGCCTCTGCTTCCAAGTCTGTAATTGCACAATAAATACTTGCTCAATAAAGCTGAGTTTTGTTTTGTAAAGTGCCTGTTGGTTATTCATAGAAATTTCAAGTGGAAACGGTCTATTAAGTCTCTCCTAACGCAATCCTCGTGCATCTGCAGACCTGCTCCCTCTGGTATTCTTCTGGCAAAACGTGAGATGGTAAATAAGCAGATTGTGGCAGAAAGTCAAACAAGACATTTGGCTTCACCTTCGAGTACGAGAACACATTTCTCTTACTTAGATAAATACAGGTATGTTGTATGGATACAATAGATAAAATTCTCCATTTCTGTGATCTAGTTCTTGGAGGGAAATACTGAAGTCAGAGAAAGTTTTAACTGCAGCCTAGATAAAAAGTTTTCAAAGGCCCCACATGAGGGTTTTAATTTGAACAGTGAAATTCAGCTAAAAGAGCTTGAACTGCAAAGAAAATGAAATAATTTCTTGGTTTATAAACCTCTCTCTGGAAATAACAGCTTTGGGGATGTTTTTATTTGAAATGGAAGATTGAGTCTCTCCTCCCTTTTTCTCCAACCACTGAGCAGCTTCAGCCAGTCCAAGCCAGTGTTCCCTGTTCCAGGGTTGGCTCCTTTGGCTCGGTGCAGCTTTTTTCCAGAGGTAGGGAAACTCAATTTGCTAAAAATACCGACATCAGGCACATGAAAACTCCAGCCAGAAAAGGGGAATCAATCCGTCAGTGTCCACAGAGGAGGGCAGGGGGGCCAGAGCTCGCTCAGGAGCAGCTCTCATAGTAAGCGACTCGCTTGTTGATGGCGTCCCGGATCCTCCCCACGTGCTCCTCCAGGTCTGACAGCCTGGCCCCCTTGGATACCAACGCCCTGTTGCTTTCCTGAATTTCCGTCTCCAAAGCTGAGGAGAGAAAGGGTTACAGGACGGTCAGACAGGAGGAAGGCATCGTGGCCACTGCCTTCCCCAGAAGATTGGGCTGAGCCTTCGCCTCCCTCCTGCACATCTCTGGTGGGGAGAAAAACCAACATCTGTGTTCCTCCTCCTCCCCCTCAAAAAAACCACGCCAACACAACTGCTCTGAACAAAGCCATGGATTTTGAAGACTTAAAAATGGAAGTGAGTGTGTGGAGGAAAACAGGGACACATCAGCATCGCAGCGTCCCCTCCAAACTAAGTTTACTGGCCCAGCCCCAATAGATGCAGCCCAAACCTGCACCATCTCACTGCTGTTAAGTGCGCTGTCTTCCTCATAACCTTTCCCTCATCCTACTGGGAGGCAAAAGCCCTTCCCTAGCGCATGAGATTACTTCACTGAGTTCACAGAGAGCCTTACTTTCCATCCTGAGCATCATGGTCAAGGTTTCCTCAAACAGAGCCTGTGCCTCCAGGTTTATGTCCTGCACCCTGCTGCCCTGCTCGCCCAGAGCCGGGCTCTGCTCCATCCTTCCCTTCAGCTCCGTGTACATTTGCCGCACTTGTTCAAAAGCCTGTGGGAAAGCAAATAGACAGTGCAGGTAGGATCAAGTGAAGAGAGCGGGGGAAAGGGGATTTTCCAATGCTGAATCCATTTTATATATTAATTGGATACTGCGCTAGCGCTTTGCCATGATGTTCTTATGAAAACACATAACAGGTTGTGATGCAGTTCAAAAGCAGCTGTATGGGCTGCTCTGCCTCAGGACAGAGACACAGCAGAGAAAAGTTTCCAGCAAAAAGCATTGGGAAAGGTCCTGGAAAAGTTCAGTAGTAGGGTAATGCATCAGATTAATAAGTGACACGATGACGCACAAGCCGTGGCCTGAACAGGAAAGCCTCCTTGCCTGGAGGAGGACACACCAGGACACAGCTGGCCGTGCTGGCTGTGACAGCGGGGATGTGAGCGCAGCCGTGGCCGCCCCAGCTGGAGCCCGGTACCTGCTGCGTGCTCCTGGCCTGCTCGCCCGC